AATGAAACAAGGCTAAGTAATGTGATTTACTGGGTGATCGCAAAATACCTCACACTGTCCGGAGAAATATTTAGCAGTCTAAATTCGAACGAATTTGGTATGGTGACATTTCGGGACATACGGAAGACATTTCCATAAAAAAAAAATTAGTATCAAAATTCGCCACTGTGGCACTTTTGGCGCTGAAATCAGCAAATGCTTTATTGTATCAATACAAAAGACTAGTGCTATATAGACTTTAGTGATGAAGGGAATACTGCTCAATGTCGACCCCATTCTAAAGGCAATGAATCTCACTGTGATGCTATCTTTTAAGTTTGCTAAATTTACAACATGCCCTGGATAAATCACACTTTTAAAATATTCCCAAACCAAAACGTCATACGAATTAAAATTAAACGGCTTACAACGCCAAAAGTGCCAGCGCGGTGAGGTTTGATACTAATAATATTTTACGGAAATATCTTCCGCGTGTCCAGAAATGTCACCATATCAAATTTGACTGTACTGTATTTGAATTGCTAAATATCTTCTTAAATAAACAATCAATATATTAATATACGGCTAATTTATTTCTTATATAATATTTATTACAATAGAATATCATTACGTATTCACAACTATAAATCTTTCATGTCTGGAATAGTATAGGATTACCACTAAACAATATACACCCAAACACGCCTCTCATTATAATACACATTTAAATTCAAATTATATATTGTGGGATGGTTTCGATGATTACGAACATCGTCATACATCCATAAACTAATTGCCTCTATTGTCCAAATATAATAAATATTTATATTTAAACACGTATTTGTTGTCAATTTAGATTTTATGTTTTTCAATTATTCTTAAGGGGGAAAAACTGCAGGAAAATCTTTATTTTTACAAAATACAAACGGATAAGATCTGTGTTGACAATTGCGAAAATTTCGAATTTTTATGGTCTTTAAAAACAGATCTTGACCATGAAATTAGCATAGAAATTAGAGAAAAATTCGCAAACGATAATGTGTTGACCAAGAGCCTAATTAGGAACTATATTAGAGGGAGGGCCCGAATTACAACGTGTAAATACCTACATTCACACCCTGTGCTGTGGCTGAAGACTAAACTCTTAGATACTGTATTTACACGTGTATAAGTGCATTTGTCACATTGAAATATTTTTTCCCGTACTTATTTATTCTTCGTTCATTTGTTTACAAATACAAGTACGCACCTCCCTGGTTACGCTACGTACGAACCGATAGTTGATTTATAATTGTTAATCAGTAAAAAAAAAATAAAATAAATAAATAAATAATAATGGATCATAACATAGAATAGATTCAAAAGAGCTTGATGTAATTTATTCATGAAAAAATAAAAAAATGGAAATACATTTTTAATATAAAATTCGAAATAAAACGAATTCCATGTTGATTAATTAAATGTATCGATAATTTACCGTACATAATCTGTATTACATGAAACTTATTACGTCACTAATTTAAATACATTTTAAAATAAATATTTGAAGTGTATATTTGAAATATTTGAATACGGATATTTTAAATAAATATTTAATGATGTTAACGTTAAACACAGAAAATTCTATCTTTATTCGATCCTTATATAATTAAATTGTAGCCTATTTGAAATTTTAAATGTNGATAGATAAAAATGTAAGTAGACTATTTTATTATTAAATTTATCTAAATTAAAAATATATATTTTTTGCTTATTTTTTAGCCATTCATATCTTAAATAATTGTCGAAAACAAAAATATTTTATTAAAAAATTATAATATTTATAAAGAATTAACAAATTAACATATCGCAAAACAATTCATAAAATAAGCACAATGACATTTAGATATAAATGTCATTGTGCTTATTTGCTTATTGTATTTATATACATATACATATAAACAAACAATATTTAGTTTTATTGTAAAAAATAAAATGCCATTTCAGTAATCATAAAAACTTTTAACTTTTACCAATAGATGTCGCCACCTTACAATGACTAATTCTTCCTTAAAAAGAAAAAAAAAAACATTTTTACTACGCTTTAACCTTTTTTATTTCAAGCGTGTTTAACAAAATCTCCGCAATTATCTCAATTAAAAAAGTCAGTTAATAATAGAACAGATCAAATTCTGAGTCGCGAAATTTCTCTGAAAATATTTTAATAAAGACTAAATCATTTGTATTTGTATCAAGACCAAGATCCTTAATTAATAATTTTTTTTCCATTAAGAATATATTTAAGAAGACGTTATATAAGTATAACGCGCATCATGTATCTACCATAAAGAAGCTGTTTATCTTTCTGTAAATTATGCTGAAATAATGCATTTAATGTTTGGTAAACACATTATACTATTTTATATAACTTCTTCCGGTATTAAAGTTACCTTTTTTTTTTTTTTTCTTTCTTGAAGATCACATTGAAACTTCCTAGCAGATATGAAAAATGTAGGCTAATGTATGTTAACCACTTAAAATAATTGATTTTTTCGGTATAATCTGCCAAGTTTAATTATAGAAATTCCTACTTCGATCCATAAATTTGATTCTATTCGCTTAACAATACATTAATATCACTCATGTACCTGAGTTATTTCTCCATATAACTCATGAATCATGCTACTCCAATTACATATTTTTAAACGTGTCAAAATTTAACGAGATAAAAAAAAAACAAGTAAACATTCAATTAAATTAATTAGATATTGTGCCAATCGATCCTCTTCTTCTTCTTCTTCGAATTAATGTCTATTAAATTAAATTCTTCCTAAAATACGAGGAAGAATGCTGAGTAGTTCGAAAGATGCTCCAAGTATTGATTGATCGATTAGGAGTCGAGTAGATTCTTGTTAAATTTTGATCAATCGCTGTCTTGTTAGCCATGGGGATTATTCATATAGAAGGACATTTCGTGATTGAGCATATATTGGAAATATCAATCGTACAAACGAGCTAAAATGACTCGTCACTTCATTCTTGGTAATGTTACTTAATAGAATTTCCGCCATTTTTTGTATCCTGTTCCTATTAAATACGTTGAAAATTGTGTATAAGTTGCGAGAATAAACTCATGAAGAATTAACTATTTTTATAGAGATAATTTGTGTAGTTTACTTTCATTATCTGATTTTGTTACGCCGTCTAAGCAAATTTGAGTTTAATGAGAAAAGAGAGTAAAGTTGGGAAGGTTTTGAAGTGATTTTTAATGTAGTGACAAGTGTAGAAAGATCGATAATTTATTTGTCAAGAGAGCAGGAAGTAATTTAACCAATGATCAATTGAGAAATGGCAATTAAGTATGTCCAGTTCTCTTATCCACAAAGTACATATGGTAACATTTTCATGATTAGTTAATAATTCTGCGTTTAGTTTGGTGAATTTTAGGCTGGAAGCCAAGTAACTAAACGTCATCAACAGGTCGGAAACAAAATTTATTTCTGGACTTGTAATATCGATGGTGATGCATATTAAAACGCTGAGGTTGCAGCGGTTAAATCTGTACTTAAGTAGTGGAATTTATAACGGAATTTTCTAAACATAAATTATTTTCCTACACATCAATTTATCAACATGATGTTATATAAAACGCTAATTATGGAATTAAATTTACACTAAGCGCTTAAATAATATAAATCTGTTATTAAAGATTGTAACATTTGAAAGTTTTTTTAATTCTTTTCGTGTCACAATTTATATTTTCATCATCCGGTGAGAAATTTCAAGACACAACGCACATATATGTATATAATGGAATGCAATATAAAAATGCGCTAAAAAATAAAACAGAATTGAAATTTCTTCACTCAGTTTCGCAAAATTTAAGGGATAACAACTTGCAGTAATAACAATACATCTTACACAAGATCGGATATAAAATATTTCTAAAGAAAGGAGTTTCCATTAACCTTGGCAAGAGGCTCGAGTAACTAGAAATGACGCAAACCAATGGATAAATGGATGCCAGACTAAATATTTTGGAAAAATAAACCATTCGAAACTCTCAATGGGTTAAAATATCAAATTTTCTTCCCGGCGGGACTTAAATTGCAGCATTTTCTTTACTTATTAATATCTTAAGGAGGCCACACTGAAGAAATAAACATTAAATTCTATCCATTTATTCCTTGATCAGAAACATTGTAAAACTAAGATTCGTCGTAACGCAACAGGTAAAGTGCCGTAAACCATTTTAATTACGCATTATTTATCGTTTGTAACGAACAAATTATAAAATTTTTCTCTGTAATTTTCACAACTGAACCAGTTGCGGGCGGGTTCGATCATATACAATAGATCGAAACTGATATCTGAACGGAAATAGGCGACCGTAAACAAAGACGTCGTCTAGTCTGTAACATTATAGCAAAAGCTGAGTATACAATTTAAATGGTCGATTCTTCGTATCTAATAGAGTGATAATCACGTGATTCTTGACCTTTGTAACGTTTTTCGTTATAAATAGCTAATCGAATTACGATAATTTCTATTAATTTACAATTTACTGATAAGACCTTAAACAATTGGCGTCAATGGGTTAGGTTCTTCGTAGCACGAATCGTTGCCATTTTATACGAAAACTAGATAATTTTTTAACGTAAAATACACCTCTACTACGCACACAATGGCGTGAATGCGTTAAAAAAAACAAAGGTTCCATTTACGTACGGGAATAATTTATTGCTAAAGGTGACACGTTCGTATTTTAGTCAATACACTGACTAGATTACGTCAGACTGTGATGGGATTTTATAGGAGAACTCCTAACCTACATAATATTTAATGTTTTACGGTTTATTTACAATATTTATAACGTAACTAATCTGTTAAATGTATCGTTTACTACTCATCGAAGCTAGGAAGTTGCGTATTGTATACATTGTTGCTTTTATTGTACTTGAACACATTATCGATCGTTGAACGTCTATGCCCTCCTGTATCGATTAACTGCGCTAGACTACGACATTTACTAAATATAAACATTCTTTAGACTCTTTATTGTCACGTTTTTTTTTTTTCTTTCTAAACTAATATTCATACACCACACTAGTTACGTTTGAATATTTTATTGCTAAAACTTTCAACATCTTTCAACATTAAAGCTATTTTTTTCAAATTCCACAACAAAATAATTTTGTATATTTACATTTTGAAAGACTCTTTAAGAAGTAACAGATCTTTGTGATTTTTTTAAAATTGATTTTTTTCATCATTTCTGTAACATATTTTCGACTTTTTTTTTCTTTTAATATAACAATTACGAGTCAACAACGGAGCGAATATTCTCAGAGTATTCTGGAATTAAAAAAATACCAAAATATTTTTCAAAACAAAGTGCCATGCACCTTTAAAAACTCAGAAGCAACAATTCTTAACAAAACAGCTATGAAAATAACGCCTTACATCTACGTTCGGAAGCTAAAAATACTTTGACCTTCAAGATGCTTTGGGATATCTTTAAACTGACAGTTGCTACTTTATAATTTTATTTAATGTACATACCAACTTTCTGAACTAAATTTAATACAAAAAAAAAGTATGGGGAAACGGGGAATGTTTACTTTATGGAGAGAGAGAGAGAGAGAGAGAGAGAGAAGGCATTTAAGAATTAATTGCGCATTATTCCCTATCAATTATGGAAGACAGAGGTTGGTATATCTTTATCTATACAAAAAAAAAAATGGCCGTACCAAGTTCGTTCCTCTATCACGCGTTCGTCTTTCAAGATAGAGTATCAAAAAACATAATTATAACTCCATAGAAATTTTAACTTCGATAGATGAAATCGATCTTATCTCACGTCAGAGCGATAACATTAAGAAATAATCAGCAAATATTAAAAAGAGCAAATACAAAAGTCGGTGTCGTTTATGTTTAATCGTCATTTCTTTTCTCCTCCTTTTTTTCCTGTTAATTTATTGTTTGATTCTGTTAACATTTTGAGGTAGTTTATAATGATTTATTATTTTTTTTACTCTCTAGTTTATTTTAGACGTAAAATGATTGTCTACGTGTTTAAAGCTACGTTTATATAAAGATATCATCGTACTTTTTTCATCTGGATTCTATTTTTGTTTGTTCAGTTTGCAGTAGACTGAAGATAAAATTAGAAATTTGTTACTTCGTTATAAAACTTTCCTTCTTTTTTTCTTTCTAAAAAACTTAATATGATTTTGTATTAGATTGTAAACAATATATTTCGTTGATCGAATTATTTTATATATACGAAAACAACCCGAAAACACCCCTACATTTCAGGATTTAAAAAAAAAAAAAAAAAACTGGTTATTAGCTGCCATTAAAAAATTAGATTAAAGCTTAGTTTACTTTAGAGGAATTTCTAAACTTTGCCAATTCGAACATAACCCGAAAGTGCAAAAGTTGGAAATAACCTGTTCCATTTTCTAGTCTAGGAACAACCGAACTAATCCAAATAGGAATTTAAATATACAAATTTCTCATAGGAACAAAAACACCACGAGGTAAAACAGTATCTTTCAGTGATGTATAATTCACTATCAAGATGGAATGACATTTATCACATGTATACTGTCTGAAAAGAATTTTGATATTCTTTGTTAAATTCCAGACCAAAGAGAATATTCCCTAGGTATGGATTAGTCATCGTTATTATTAACAACAAGTGCGAATGGTGCTCATAATTATAGTACCATCATCGTCATAAAAGCCTATGCAAATCTGTATTCCACCATTCCTCATAACGCCCAAGCAGCGCAACAAAAACGGTTCTCAAGGGGCAAAATAAAGCCGTGTTAGCCTCTGTAGGACAATTGACTAGTTCTAGTAGTCTAAAACTAAAAAAAAAAAAAACAAAAAATGTTATGCCTTACCACACACTACGCGCTTGTAAGTGTTTTCAGATAAAATGATGAAGCCAGTTATGTCCATCTTGGGACAATGGAAGAATCTGACTGTTGCTACAACACCTCAATACATAATTACAAGAGCGATTGTTATCCCAATATTCGAGTCCGTTAGTTAAATATCTTAAGGCGAAAACTAGTCTCTGACCGGGGGTCAAGTGGGGCACGTAAATGTTAAAAGAGAACTTGTCCGAAAATCCGTCGTGGGAACCGGGAACGTATGAAGCCAAGACGTCTTCGCACGTGGCCCATTCCGTAGTCGTGTATCTGGCGTAAACTATTTTTTCGAAATTAATATTCAAAACTCTGACAACACAATGAACTGTCATGTCGTCGACGACCACATTTTCCAGGCATATTTTCTGATCACGTACGCGATTCATAAAATCTGATGACATGGCCGGTTGTTGGAACTGAGGATATAAACTATAAGACGGCGTATGACTGATGTTCTGGGGATGAGGAGTAATCGACCATGTCTTATCTGTCGAACTGTCCTGTTCTAAATTCGGAACTTTTAAGTCTGTGTATGCCGACTGTGGAACTATAGGAACATCGTCGGTAACGATATGCTTTACCGCTTCCAGATCTAAACCCAAAGCATCCGCAAATCGGACGATTTTTTTCCTCCGAGGGGTACCAGGAGGGGTCTTTCCAGTTTTTAAGGACGTGCTCCTTATTAAGGGCCTTCTAACGTCATCTACGTTTAAATAAAGTTGTCCCTTTTCGTGCCTTTTACTTGTCCATTCTTCCTGGTTTTGTGTTTCCGTAGACAAATCCTTACTGTCACTATCTGACACGGTATCAACAGAGGACGGACTTTCCGCGATTTTCAGAGATTCCAAAGACTCTATTAACGAGTCGCAGGGTACCACAGTAAATCTACTTTCGGGCTGAACATTACTTTCCTCTTCGCACGGCGATATGATAGTAATTTCCTCGAGCTTTATTTCCTTATCCGGAACGGCATCTATGTGATTGACATCGTTGGCTATAAACTGCTCTTCTGTCCATTTATCCGCGTATTTCTGAAGTTTTTCACACAATATCTGGCCGTATTTTAGGTCGTTTTCGTCTAATATACAATTATCTTGCGAGCGAAGAGATAAAATTGTACTTTTATTCCCACACGCTGCTATAGCTCCGCAGTCGAGAGGGCTCTCCACGGCTTCCTCCATCGGTGGGCTGGTTTCTATGGAAGCTGGTACGGGTGGCATGGTTATAGGAGGATTAACAACGATTTCTTCGTCGGCGGGACTGGGTGGTGAGGAACAATCACCCGGTTCGTAACCCTCGTCGTCGCTAGAAAACATGGCTTCTTCACTCTGCCAGCAACTGTGCGCGTTTAAATGATTAGCTCCATACTGTCTCCTCTTGGGCGGTCTATCGATGATGGGCTCGCTAGTAGAACTAGACGCATAACGCTTGAGACAAGAAGCAGCACAAGGCCTGTCCGATAATTCGAATCTTCCCAAAGGCCACAGTTTGCTGTGTAATTGTCTGGCTAGTGCCTCGGCTCTCAGTCGGCAACTAGCCAAGTTTAAGCTGCATGAGATTTCCAGACTCTCCTTTTCGCTGTCAAGCATATTTAGATGCTACACTACCGCCACCATATACGCTCGTTGCTATTTATAACGGCATTTTACACCCACCGGGCGATGAGTACCGCCGAATATTCATGCCTCGAGATCCGGATCGGGTTTTAAGCCCGCCACAAACAACACTCTAATACGTAACCGTACGGATTGTCCCCTAAACGTCCTTCAAGTCCGTCAGCGACAACAGCGCCTCGCCTGACGTCACGTCTGCGCCATCGCAATACAGACTTGACGGAGGATTGACCTGTGGACGCGATAGGCGGCAACCGCGCTTCGCGCACTTAAAAACAATCAGGAAGTGTCACTGATACTCAACACCTTTGCAGCTCTTATAAAAGGAAACGCAATGATATTTTAATTCTTTTTTAAATAGATACACAGTTATTTTAATCTATCTAACACGGCAATGGAAATAAACAACCGCTCAATCAATACACTTACACGTTTTTGTCAATACATTCGATGACTTTTAACTGCCATTTAAGTGTTTAAGGCGCCCGTAAAATGAAATTACTTATGTAAACTCGAAATTAAATTAATGTTTAGCATTTGGAGATTGGCAGAGATGCAGATACCTGTCAAAATAGAATCACGTGTTTGACTAGATTTAGACTTAAGGTCAAACAAAGCGGATTACAACGAAAAAAATGTCTAGCGGTTGTTTTGTTCTGTATTTTCTTTACTTTAATCGATAAAAAGTGCGGTTTACAAATGATATTTATTTTTAGAATGTAAAGTGTTTTGGACAGATGTGACATAATGGGGAATAGAAAGCAAAGGAAAAAAATTGTTTTTTAGCTGCATATTTATCTTACGGGGTTTTAATCCTATCGAAGAGTTGATTGACAGACCTACTTTATGATATATAAGTAATACCTTCAAATTAAGTAATCGTGATAAATTTTGAACTTTGAAACACGTTGACATATTTATCAACTATAATTTGAATTTTTATCTGTCAAAATAGGGGATTTAGGTTTACTAGCGTGATAAAATTTTACCTTAATGGAAGACATTCATGTTTATAAAACACATTTATATCTAACCAGATTTACATCTTTTTAAAGTGTTACGAAGTTTAAATTTCTTTAAATAAGGATGTATTAGTTAAGGGTATTAAGAAAATGTCTGGATGAACATCGATAACATGAGAGACGAAAGCAGGTTGCTGTGGCAACATATCCTATACGGTTGTAGGTGCTTTTAGTGAAAGGAAGGAACTTCTGAAAGCTTCTATAAAACAAACAATGTCTCTCTTTACTTAAAGAAGTATAGGATATTTCTTTACGGCCTTTTATCATTGTCAATTATTCTTACATTCAACTTTTTCTCATCTTTGCATAACACAAATCATCAATTAATATTTTATTCAGCTGATTAATCATCAATTGCTTTTTTGATTTTTTTTTTCAAATAGAATTTTAATTCATTTGCAAATAGCCTTATCCCAAAGTCTATAAATTTTCACTACCTTTTGTGAAAATAAATTAAGTTTTGGAAATTGGACTCCTCCCTCATAATTATCTTCATCAGAAATTTTATGATTAACTTCTAAAAATCTTGAGAGATTTTCATTTTGATTTAAGCAGATAAACTCTAATTATAATAGTTCAAGGATGTTGTGTTAAATTTCCTTTGTAAACTCGTTTCTAGATAATTTATTATACAATAGTTTAAAATTAACAGACAATTCCTTAAATTATGTTTGTTTTAATGATATTAATATTAAAAAAACTGCAATTTATCTTTCCACTATATGAAATGTATGATAAATGAAATTATCTATTCTATAAAAATAGTATATATGATTAGATTCTTTTTATCTACATATTTTTTATATATAAACATATCTGTATATACAATCTACATACAGTAAATAATATTATATAATTAAATATCATAAATTTTAAATAATACAAAACTATATTTTATTTATACAATAAATACATTTCACTTTTGATTTTAAATATATGTTTTCATAATTAAGGCATACAAAAATTTACTGAAATTATCTAGAAAGAATCAATGAATTGTAAGCTACATATTGAAGAAATATATAAGTTCATATCAACATTTTATCTGCAAAGGCAATAAACATAGATATACAGACTATATATAATTTATTTATTGCAGTGTGTTTACTATTTCTTTTCAAGATAAAAAAAATAATAATACAGTAAGGACATGAAAAAGCTTTCATTTTTTTTCATTAAGCTATCTAACTGTTTAGATTCTCAATGTAAAGATTATGGAATTAAAAAATTCTATGATAAAATTATTTATATGAGAAAATATGACATATCATTTTCAATATTTATTTTTAAAAAGTTAATATGAAAGAGAGTATTTTCAAATATTAAAAATTATTTCAAATTTGGCTTATTATTAATGTGTTATATACTGTTTATCACATTACTAACATATTAATAATTATCATTTGATTATGTATCAATACTTTGAAATTTCTTATTCTTTATCATGCAAGTGTAATTCAGAATAAATAATCTAAAAATAAATTATTAGATGTAATTCAATAAAACAATTTATGAAAATTTAGGAATAAAAAATATTTATACTGTATATTTTTCTACATAAATTTTTATTTCAAAAAGTTAATATTTCATAAATAATTATGAATAATTCATTATTATATCTTTATTTATTTACCAAATCAATCTACAAAAATCTCCAAATATAGGTCTTTAATTATTTTATTTATTTATTACTTTAAAATAAAATATTAGAACATAATCATTAACAAAAATATATATTCATTTATATAATTTCAATTTCATTATAATTTCCTAAAATATAATTTTAATTAGAAAATTCACAGCAGAAAATTCATAAATATTAAATTATTTCAAGGAAATTTATAACATTGATTTCCTTGAATATATATTTCTAATTTTTTATCCATAGACAAATAAAATACAAAAATATATTACTTCACTATAAAATAGTCAATATTACAGCATATTTACTCAACTCTTTAAAATATTTAATATAAGATTCTTATTTTAAAACAAAAAAAACAACCTTAAATTTTTGAAAAATATTTTCAATAAAATTTCATAAATAATATTTATTTAAAAAGTCATTTAAATATATTATTTATTATTCATTATCTACAGCCATGTTATCACTCTCATTCAACATTAAACAAAATCTATAGATTTATCTATATTTAAAAATCTTATTAACATGTCATATGTTTAATAATTATTGTTTATAAGCATATAAATATATATTGATTTATGATAAAGATATAAATTTACTTTTTAACTGCATAACTGTTTTCAATAAATTAATGTACAACCTAACACAATTATAATTGTAAACAAATTACTTACAACACATTTATTTTTGTAATTCATTTACCATAATGAATACTTGATAACATTAAATTAGCTGAGATTGATTACATTCCTAAATTCAATTATATATACAAAATATATATGTCACTCTAATATAGGATTAAACTAGATTTACTATGCCCTTAATTTATCTTTTACTCATTTAATACCTTGGCACTTAAATTTTAATGAATTAAGTGGGAAAAATAATAATCCTAATGAATTAATTTCAAATGTTAGTTGTATCCTCTCTACATGTACAATGACAGAAATAAGGATATTGCATAATAGGCACACAAAATATATTCTGTGTTAACTTTCTATAATACTGATTTTGTTTCATTTTAATTGATTTAAAAATAAAATTCATTCACTGAAACAAACAATTTAACAAGCAGAGTACTATTCAAAATGATTTTAATCTATCTAAACTTTGAATTTAGTTTCTCTTGTTCGTCTTTAAATTTAGACATGTAAACATTGCCAATTTTAAAGATAAAATTTCCTTTTGCAAAATTAAAAAAGTTCTCTCTTTTGCACAAACATTTTTGTAAACTACTAAATACAGAAAGCTAAATATGAATGATTTTTTACTAATGAAACTCTACAATAGAACACAAATGATCTAAACTTGCCAACATTCCACACTACTGGAATGAACTAAGGCAAAGGACATTTCTACTTGGCAGGTAAACTTGACAATAAATTTACTATGCCAGAATTTTTAAAAGAAAAAATTAACAACATATTGATAAGTTCAGACAGAATGTAAATTACATCAGTTTATTATTAACACTTATCCAATTCAACTTCCTCTAAATAACTTAACCACTTGTGACCTTCTTGTCTCTACATTGAAATAACCTTCCTGACTCATCCTTTGTAAAGTTCAAACAACCACTGAATCCATCAGAACATGACTGAAACTATTTTGTTGATAAAGATAACCACTATTCAGATATTGCATCAGTTCCTTACTTTACTTCTCTTTTTTTTCAATATATTATTCCAAGTTTTTACTAGTTTATTAATTATATGAAAATTTAATTGTTAAAAATACTTAAATTAAGTAATTTTCATTTATTCTTTATGCACATAATATATAGAAGTCTGAAGCATGTGATATATAAAAAATTTTAATAATATCCAATTGTAGTTTTTCAAAGACAGAATGAGTAACATTTTTAATTACTAAAAATAATATAACCCTATCACATTACCTTAAGATTAAATTTATTATTATATGCCAACAGAGTTTTTTAAAATGAAAGATATAAATAAATTATTATTTTAAATAATTTCCATATATCTTTAAACTTCAGAGAAAAAAATTTAGTCTAGATTTATTCTTAAAAATTTAATAAATTTAAATTTAAATCTAAATTTAATAAAATTAGATATTTTCACCAAATTTCTTGTCTGCTTCCAAATATACAAAAATTTGATTAGAAAAAATAAAATAAAAATTGTATACAGTACTGTACTTCAAATATAACAAACAGAATGCAAAAATTTCAAATCATTCTCATTAAGTTTTAATTTTGATCTAATCGGGCTTGTTTAATTTTTGGTTTATCCTAAATTAATATACATTCCAAATTTTATTATATAACTTTAGATTTATTCTAAAGTTTCCTATAAAAATTTTAAACTTCGATTATTTTAAAAACAAAGCATTTTGTTGAAAATATTTGTTGTAATGGATAGTAAATATATGATACAATCAAAACAAATTTTAAAAAAATTCATAATGCAGGAATTTTATATATATTTAAAAAAATTATATATCATAGTGTTTTCAATAAAACAACAATTAATAT